CAATGAACAGACAATATCAGAAGATTTTTACTTCCTCATTTCTGTGTAGCTAACAATCAAAGCAAATAAACAGCTCATCATTAACCCTTACTATCAGTTGTACTTTTGAATTCAGTTTTTATTTGTGCACAAACGTGATTGCTAATGTGCACCGTCATAACACTCAAATCTGCGTGCAACGTTCTTATGAAGCTCTGAGTAAATATCAATTTGCATATCCGCACATTCACAAAATTTTCATTTTTTTGAAGTGAATGAAATCGAATGACAATCGAATGAGTCATTGTTTGTGAGTGTTCGGCTGAAATGTGGCCAGAAAGTGTTGGTTTCGTTTATTTCCATCAGCTTTAACGATCTTTCAGTGGTGTCTGAGGGACAATTAATTGCACGGAGTTGAGGGAGTGATTATAGCGTGTTGTTTATGACCGTCAGAAACAAATTGGCCGAGTAATTCGTATCGAAGGAACATCTGATTAGGTGCTTGATGGACGACAACGAAAATGTTCAACATCCATCAAAAATCAAATTCCAAATCCATTCGAATGAACTTCAACAATTTTGAGTACATTTTTGGATTCGTTTTTAACGACTCATTGCAGGATTTAATTGAAAATGTGGTACTCAAGTTGACCAGTCGGCCAAGAAATTCGAAAAGGACTGAACTGGTAGGTGAGAACGATGTTCACCATCGAAGAAGAATTAAATTTTCGAACTGAACACCTTTATTGACACCCAACCAAATTAAGTATGAATTCCAGCCTTGGATGGTAGTAAGATGAGGATCAGTGAATAGAGAATTTTGGTCTTACGTGAGATCATCAGGCAATTCTCACTCTATTATATGTAGAGAAACGCGTCGCTCGTCCAGAGCCATCTTTGAGTTTAAGCTTATGCAGTAGTTACGGTCTGAGAATAATATGCTTGATTTGATATTTGACATCAATTTTGATAGTGTCGCTTTATTTCAGTGCACAATTTTATTTTTGTCACTAACGACAGTGGCATTGGTATGCGCATTCAATATCATAAGTGTATACTTTTGGGTAGCCAACTTCAACGAATCGATGCGTTATTTAAGTGCATTCCACCTGTTTGAATTCCTCGTGATATTCATCGGTATCATGTGCCTGGCAATCGGTCTCATCAACAATTCTATCCAGCTCATTATTATTTTTATGTCATCGATGGTCTGTTGCTTCTCATTCCACAATTGATCTCATCGTTAACATTGTATCGAATTCTATTCTG